AAAAAGGAAGTAAGAGTTCTGGGGACAGATATCAGAGGACTTGAGATTTTGACAGACTTGCAAATGAGAAAGAGGTTGAAATTTGGTGGTAGGGAAACCAACTTGAGTCCAGAAGGGCACAGGAGATGGCTAGGACAGCAGTGAGAATTCCTCACGTCAGCAGAGCCCTGAGGAGACTTCAGGCTCAGAGTTGTCAGAGAAAGAGAATTCCGATAGAAGGGAATGACTTTATTCTGAAGAGAACTTTCTGTATAGTCCTGACTTTTGAAACCCACGTTTCATGATATGCTATTAGCTCATACGCTTATAAAAACCCCGCAAGGATGAGAGGAGAACACAGATACGGAGTATCAGCGAAACAAATGGAATTTCACATGAATAATGTAGCTACACTGAAGAGGACAGAGAAAGAACCAACCCAAACAGCTACTACACAGTTTCTGGATCACGTGCCTTTAGGCTAAAGGCAAGGACCCTAAACAAACAGGGAACTCGACTCAGGGGTCTCTCCATTTAAAGGCGGGGATTGGCCATTCTGAAACTCTGTTTTCACTACAGGACCCAGCAATCCGGTCATGATACTCCTCTTATCGTGGGAGCCAGGCTGCTCACTCACCGTGAAGGCAGTTAACCTGGAAAACGGACAGAAAGGAGTAAACTATAGGGTGCCGGGCTGGAATTGGAGCTCTCAATATGAACTCATGGATCTGAATAAAAGGAGATAAAGTGCACACAGATATGTATGGATCTATGTATAAAAATGAATTTACATGTGTCGGTCTAAGCACACATACGAAGGTACGCATACACACACGTGTACCTATTTCTATCGAGACGCCCTAGCAGCAATGACAACACAGTATCAATGATGCATCTAGATCTTGGCGTCTTTTCCTCACTAAAAAGAACTAGGTATCCTTGAAGAAATGGCTGATTCCAGGCCTGGCACACAGAACCTTTAAGATGAGGCTGAACATCTTGTGCCAAAAAATTAAGAAAGCAAAGAATGTTAGAGACATGTCGAAAAAGCACAGGAGCTACCACCAAGGGGCTCCCACTGGCAAAATGAAGAAGAGTTTGAACATTAAAATAAAAAGTAATAGTAGGATTCTAACCTACCGAATACGGAAAGAATGTCTGAGTCCATACTGATACAGACAGATAAATAGGGGAAAAGGAAAAGTGTATCCTTACAGTTGAAAGGCAACTAATGAATGTAGAAGAAATAACAGAATTACTTGAGAATCACAGTAAAAGATACATGCAAAAATCATCAATGGACACTAGTGGGCAAAGGTTTGAAGAAATTCCCCACTTACTGCTGTAAAGAGTAAAACAGTAACTACATGATGGAAAACCCTGACAGAAACCACCTTCATCAGACCGTCAAAGTCAGTGCCACCAGGAGTGGGACTGATCAACAGCACGTGCGTCCACACCATGCACCAAGCAGGACTCAACATCACTGCTGCAGTCTTCTTGCCCAAACCGCATAATCTGCATCTAATCACGAGGAAACGTCAGACACAACATTTACAAAATAAATAGCTACATTCTTCAGAAAATCAATTTCCTACAATACAAAGAAAGACTCATACTGCCCCCAGTTTAGGAAGACTAAAGAGACACAGCAACTGAATCAATGCATGATTTAAGATTTTTTGCTCTAAGAGGCATCACTGGCACATCTGGCAAAACATGAACGTGAATTGTTTACTAGATAGAGGACTGAGTCCATGTTAAGTTCCTGATTTTTGATAACTGTATTCTCGCTATATGTGGTAATGTCTTGAAGTAGGGATAAAGTAGCATATCCATTAATTTGATCTTCACACAGTTCAGAAAAACATCACATACATAGCAAGTGAAAGAGGAAAAGGAAAGAAAAAGCAAATACGGCAAGATTTTCCCATACAGAGAATCTAAGGGAAGAGATGTGGGATTTCTCTTAACTATTCTTGTAACTTTTCTGTAAACCTGAAATTACATAAAAGTAAAGGTCCTAAATGTCTTTGCCCAGGTTTATAACACAGTATTATAAAACCAGTAAGATTAAAATGTTTTTAAGGGGAAAGTAAATCACCTACAGTTTAAATAACTCGGTTGGGCAACTGCCTTTAGCTCAGGTCATGAACCTGGAGTCCCGCATCAGGCTCCCTGCTCAGCAGGGAGTTTGCTTCTCCCTCTGACCCTTCCCCTTCTCATGCTCTCTCTCTCTTAAATAAATAAAATCTTAAAAAAAAAATAAAGGTCCTCATTATATAGCATTAGTTATAATAGTGAAAACTTCATTCCTTTAATAATTAGTTTAGTTGCTGAGTATCTTACATTAGCATATAAGATACGGAGTATCTTACATTATCTTATATTCTAGGTGGTGCGCTAGACACAAAGGATATAATATTGAACAAGCAAGACCAGTTATGTGGCTCGGAGACTGAGGGGTTTCTTGGGACTCAAACTGAAAAAAGCTGGTCATTCTAGGTAGAACTCAGCCATGATGGCACTTATATGGAAATGTTTACGAAGTTCTAATACAAACATTTAATAAAATAAGGGCAAATCAAAAGTAGAAATGTAGAAACTATTAACAGGGGATAGCACTTATTGTAAGACCAGAAGTAAAACAAGAGCAGGACACACTGAACACTGTTAGAATTGTACGTATGTACATAAAAGATTTAACGGCAAATATAGATAGCTCATTGTGATGATTTTTCCTATTTGAGCTTCTGATAATGTTCAATTTTTTTAAGAACTGAAGGAAAAATTCATTCCAAAAAAGTTACCAACGCTTCAATTTTTATTTTTTTTATTATTTTTTTTTAAGTAGGCTTCACAGGAGGCTTGAACTCACGACTCTGAGATCAAGACCTGACCTGAGATCCAGAGTCAATCGCTTAACCGACTGAGCCACCCAGCACCCCAGTTACCAACATTTTAGAAAACAGTTATAATTAAATGCACATAAATGGGTCGAGCAAGTGAGTTCAGGAAAATGTCATTGGTTAACTGGAACCATCAAAAACTGATAGGAAAGTTTTAGCTGTTTTCGGGATGTGTATCTCCTAAAAATTACCTTCTGTTTCAGATTTTTGCCACATTTTTAGAAAATCAGCAAAGCTACCTGTTCTACCAAGTTCTATTGAACTACAAGGAATTGTTCTGCAAAAGATGGGTATCTTTAGTCCTAATAAAATATGACATGATTTGTTGGGAAGGAAAAGTTCAGTTTATAATTTAACAGAAGAAGGCAGGCAGGCGGATGGTGAGTTCCTTAAAGGCCAGAATTCCACATTCCTAGTGTCCCAAACAACAGCGACCAGTCGCCACCGGTTTGCTCACTAAGCCGAAATACTGAACACTGTATACTGTATACTGTATACTCGCGAACACGGGGTTTCTTACAATCTCCACTCCTAAGGCATCCAAAGATGGCCCCGATGAGGTGGGAATTGATGGGAGTAGTCATTGATGAACCTCCCTGTGTTTTACTAAAAATTGAGCTTATATCTATTTTGTGAGGGGAAACTTTAAAGCTTTCATCAAGTTTTCCAGGAGCTCTAAAACCCAAAAAGGTCAAAATGTACTATTCTAGGGTGCCAGGGTGGCTCAGTTTGTCAAGCACCCGACTCTTGATTTCAACTCAGGTCTTGATCTCAGCGTCGTGAGTACGAGCCCTGCACTGGCTTCCGCTTTAAGCCTACTTTTAAAAAAAAGTGCTACTCTAAATAAGTAAACAAAATTATGAGATCTCCTAATGACTTAGAAACTTAATAACTATATAAAAGCCATTCAGTGAGATCATAGAACCAAAGAAGTGTTATAACAAACTTAAAACATGCATGAAGACAATCAAATTCCCCAACTCTGGGTTAAATTCACGCTTGACTGTGAAATAGCACAAATCCATTTGAGGCTTTACTACCAGCAGTAATCAACCCGGTGAATAACTGCAGAATGCCTCATGCATCATACAGCACTAAAAACTTCTGATGACAACACTGAGTTATCTTTTTTTTGTTTTTAAGACTTTATTTATTTATTTGACAGACAGAGATCATAAGTAGGCAGAGAGGCAGGCAGAGGGAGGAAAGGAAGAAGGCTCCCCGCTGAGCAGAGAGCCCGATGCAGGGCTCGATCCCAGGACCCTGAGATCATGACCTGAGTTGAAGGCAGAGGCTTTAACCCACTGAGCCACCAGGCGCCCCAACACTGAGTTATCTTAAAAGTACTTGGGAAATGTACTATTTTAAAGGAGGCCAAAGGAAAAAAATTAATTTTATAGTCAATGTGTCAGGCACTAAACTAGACACTGAGATTGCAAAAAGAATATTTAGATCTTCTGAGAAGCACAAAGTCTACTGGAAAAGACAAAAGTAGAAAAATATAATCATTTATAATATAAGCGGGTAGAAAAGAACAGTTTCCTGGAAAAGCAAGAGTATTTCTAGAAAGAATTGATACCTGTGCTGGGGTAGTTTCCCTGCTATCAGAGAGAAGTGCAGGCAGGGCTAACCTTTCGGGCAGTGGGGATGTTTACAAAGGCACAGATGGAATCTTCCCGTGGGCTGAGGCTGGAAGGGAGAAAAGACTAGTGGAAGATAAGATCCAGACTGGAAATAACCTGCCCTGAATTGATGATGAACTTGGATGCTTTCTAGAATACAAAAAGCTGCAGCCACTGAAGGTTTTTAAGGAGTTACTTAAAAAAAAGTTGGGAGTTTTGAAAGGTAAGTCTGGAACAATGTAGAAGATAAGAGTAATGTGGGAAATAACAAAAGAGATTAAAAAAAAAAAAACCTTTACAAAAGTTATTTTTTCTGACAAAATTAATTATGCCTGTTTTTTGGAGTTCAGGTTTTTATATATGACATTACAAAAAAAGTGATACATATTTGTAGTTTAGCGCCTTAATTCGCAGTATCATTCACAATTCTCAGAGAGACCTGTCACAGGCCTACAGCTGGCGCGCGAGCAGCACAGCCCGGCTGCCTTACCTGTCACGTTACCAGTAACAGAGAGGCTGGTCACCGCAGCGCTGGTCAGCGGGAGGACTGGATTGACGGTGAGCGTCGTCGCCGCGCTGCTCGTCACAAGGCTTGGTGTGGTTGCCACCTAGAGGTCAGAAATGGAAATATGCAAAAGCATTTTAAAAAAATCAAGAAAATGTATACCAATACTGAAGATATTTTGCCTGTAACAATTTTTAAATTCCAGATACAAAAGAATTAAAAGGGCCTAAGAGGGAATAATTTTATAATCATCTTTTGATCTTGGAATTGAGAAAATAGACATGTTCAAAGGCTGCTATTAGAAGTTGGTTTTCTTTCTGATAGGAGAAATGGCTCTGCCCAGGTTTTAAAAAGAAATAATTAAAAAATTCCTAAATTTCAATGATGGCGAGTCAGAATTACTCCAAGTAAGTAAAAAAAATTATACTAATTATCAACTTAATCTACACAAGAAAACTATTCAACAGGATCAGAGAATCAGGGAATCTTGGATTGCTTTTACTTTTGGTCAGGTGGAGACAAGACTGTCTTGTTTTTGTTTTTAATGAAATGATATTATGGAAAGAATGTGAAGCAAATTTTTTAAAAGCTTACAGTTTCTTTTTGAAATAACATAAAATACTTCTACAGTTTTGTAAGAAACACTGTCTTCCTTTCAGTAACAAATAAATCCAAAACACAAAATAGCCACCTACATAAAACAGAACCGTATCTAAAGACTGTCTTTTTCATAACTAATATGTCAGGAACTTCATAATTAAAGCCCAACCATTCAACAACCACAGTGTTCCCTTAACAACCAGTACGCGCTCTTAATGATTGACTTTAGTTTAAAAAGCATCCCAGTTTTCGAGCGATATTCAAATATAATAAAAACAAATTAATAAGGGAAGATCAGAAATGCAAACCCAACAATCTACTTCTCATCTGTGGAATCCTAGTTGGAAATATGGAGTCACATTTGCCATCATCCTTAAGATCAAGGGAGTACATGACCGCTGCATGTCCCCCCAGTCTAGAATACTCTTCCAAAGCAATGAGTTCAAGTTACTCAACGAAGTCAGCAATGAACAGTCCCACATATGTTTGAGAGTGAAGACGTGAGATGGTTGAATTCATACCAGTTCACAGCTAAAGGTTATATGGGAATTTACTGTCACCTCCTCATGTAAGTTTAATAAACTGGGTTTTAAAACCCAACATGAATATAGGGGCACCTGTGTGGCTTAGCCGGTTAAGCATCCCACTCTTGATTTCGGCTCAGGGCAGTGAGACTGAGCCCTGCGTTGGATCCGTGATGAGTGGGGAGTCTGCTTGAGAACCCCCCCACCTACCCCCCTCAAAACAAAACAAAGGAACAACAACAAAACCCCAAAATCCAACATGAAGAAAAAGCAAATGAAGAGCAAATCTGCTCCCACAGTTCCAGAGTAACCTAATAAACTACATCAGAGAAGAGAATAATGAAGCAAACCACCATGAAACAGGAAAGAATTAAAATTGCTCACTTTAAAAAAGAAAGATCACTAAGTTCTTGGCTTAATGACAACATGAGATTTAATTACTTTAGTACCAATTTAATTTTTTTTAAACCTCAGTTTTGTTTTGTTTTTCCAGATTTTATTTAGTTATTTGTCAGAGAGAGAGAGAGAGAGAGAGAACACAAGAATGGGGAGAAGCAGGCTCCCCGCTGAGCAGGGAGTCTGATGTGGGACTTGATTATGACCTGAGCCGAAGGCAGACGCTTAACCAACTGAGCCACCCAGGTGTCCCACTTAATAACATTTAAAATATAAATTTACATACACTTACTCAACATGAACATATATACACAATAAATTACTGTTAGGAAGTAAGTCAATTTCATAGATCATTTGTAAAACTATAGAAATCTGTTCTTGGGCTTGCGTCCTCTACTTTTTATCCTTACCAGTGAGGTCGGACTGGGGAAGATTGCTTTGATAGGTGAACTGCTGGTTCCGCCACTGCTTGGTGGGTTGATTCTTTTTTCTTTCTGACGGCGGTTACAAAACCAAACACGGATCACTTCCTTTTCCATACTGAGCTGATCAGCAATCATGGTGATCTCTTCCGAGGTAGGCTTTTGATTCTAAAGGGGAAAAAAAAAATCATCTTTTGGAATACCTTTTTATTATTTTAATTAAAAAATATTTTTTGTGGGGGGGGATAGCTTTTTAAATTACTGACACAAATAAACTAAAGGGGAGGAACAAATCAGAGAATGAAGCTGGGTGCCTATGACCATATTGGCCGGCTTTTAACGAAGAACTTCTACAGATAAACATTCTAATGAACACATATTTATTAAACTTATTCATATTAACTAAGAGTAAGTTATTCTTTTTTTTTTTTTTTTTTTTTAAGATTTTATTTATCAGAGAGAGAGAAAGAGAGAGAACACAAGCAGGGGAGCGACAGGCCGAGAGAAAAGCAGGCTCCCCACCGAGTAAGGAGCCCAACACGGGGCTCGATCCCAGGACCCTGAGATCATGACCTGAGCCAAAGGCAGATGCTTAACCAGTTGAGCCACCCAGGGGCCCCAAGTTATTCTTGAATATTTGTTTTTTTTTTCTTAAGGGCTATTAATCTTGAATACAATTATCAACTTTATTCAATTTATCATCAATACAACTTCGTTATCTTGGTAGGAACTGAAGAGCTTCTCAGTGCTCACTCTCACGGAGTGAGGCGCCTTCATCGGGACAGCGAGGCCACAGTAAGCCTCCCGGGCGGGAAGGGTGGGCTTCACAGATGAAGGGACTTCAGCCTAAGAAACCCAGTAACTTGACCAGTCACACGGTTAATAGAAGTGGTCGAATCGATAAAGATTCCTGACTCAGTGCTCCCCCTGCCTTTTCTACATTAGGGAAGTCAAAATTTGCCGGGAAGCTCGGACTGCGATACTCCCCGGGGCAGTAACAAACAAACAAACAAACAGGCCAACCCACTGTTGGCGATCCAAGGCCCGTCGCCTGCCAGTACCACACGACTATTCCAGGCGCCCAGACACTAGAATTTAGTCACACCAAACCATCCGTGTGTCGCCGGATCTACCTTGAGGTATTCCCTCCCTGGATGCCTTTGCTTGTGCATTTCCTCTGCTTCCAGTGCTTCCCCCCACTCTCCCGGGGCAGCTGCTGCCTGTCCCACTGGGGCTCACATGGCTTGAGCCTGGGCTCTTCTGCACCCTGCACACCGGTTCTGTTTCCCATGTTCAGTAACTGGCTTTGCCCACTGTTCTCCACTAGGTTACGGGACAGAGGCCGGCAAGTCCGTCTTTTGTCACCTACAGCACCGAACATTACACAGACAATCATATGTACGAGAGAAGTAAAAACCTAACCTCCAAGAAACTCTTCTCTAAGGCCACACGGATGTTGGTCTCTATGCTGGTGCGTTTCTTCCTCCTGCGGTTCAAGCCTTCCATTCCCAGCCCTGGAGAATTCAGGGCACTTGGGCTGGAGAGACCTGAATCAGATGAGAGGTTCTCTGTAAGAAAGAAGAAAACACAGAAGTCAAGTTAGTGGAGCGTGATTCATGCACGTGATACATATATTAAGGACAACAAAACTGACCAAAATATGTTAAGTTAAAAGCAAGCACGGGAAGGTTTTCATAACCTACATTAAAACATCATTCTCTACCATAGATCTTTCTAAGTAAAGTTTAAACAAGGTTCGGGCACTTAATAGTCTAATGGCCCTGGTCATGTCACAGACATCTCTGCGTTTCTTTGCACTGGATGGAAAATGAGATGTTCTCACCTGTGGAATTCAGTAAGATTGCTCATGCTGAGGCCTCCCCCAGAGCTATGGAAGCAGACCGTCGTCCCAGGGTGGCTATGACAGGTCTGTCTTTTCCAAAGACCTGACTTCTGTTCATATCTACAGTGAGAACCACGGTCTAGAAGATCTCTGTGGTTCCTTACGCCTCTCAGAGCCTATGATTCTGTGACTCAAAATCCAAATTTTCCAAGAGGAAATCTCAGTACAAAAGACCGAAGTTAAAACCAGCAGTGCAACTTTTTCTCTATGAAATATTACTAACAAAAGCAGAAATATGATCAATAGTAAGTTTACAATGATTCATCAAGGATGAACCTATACATCTGTTTTTCAAGTGTATCTAAACACACAGGACTTCTTATCCTCTTCCTTCAATTATCCCTAACTCTGGTTCAAATATAAGAAATATTCCAACAATGAACAAATCGTTGTCTTATACAGTCACTCACCTGCATCATTTAGCCACTTCTCCAAGAGTGGCTTTAGCTTGCACATGTTCTTAAAGCTGAGGTTCAAGGCTTCAAAGCGAGAAATGGTCGTTTGGCTGAAGTCATTTCCATACAGTTTACCCATAGCAAGCCCAACATCGCCCTGCACGGTAATACAGAGAAGGAGGGGGAGAGGAAGAGAAGAGATTTGTCTCACTAGTGCCCAACGTCCTCACTCAAGGGTGCTGCCCCAGAAACTGTTCTAAAGACTCAACAATCATTCCATTTACCGGGTCCCACAAACACATCCAACCTTGAGCCGAGCACAGCATTCAACGAGGACTGTTACTAGGCCTTAATTATGACAAAATTCGTAAGTCCCATTTTCTCTCTGTTTTGAGTCTCTTCTTGCTATCTCATGTAACCATCAAGCCATCAAATATTTCTAAGTTTCAAAAGACGGTGCTGATATCCTAACCAGCCCCTTCACTGATGCGACCACAATGATTTAAATAATCCTTAAAACCAGTTACCTGTATGTCCTATAGAGTTAATAGATGTAAATGCTTAACTTCAGGTACTTCTGAACTAGCCAAACTTCCTATAAATCACTTTAAAATTTAAGAAATAAGGCCTCACTCTCCCCGCACCTTCCTCCTGCCCCCCGTAAAGTATTTCTGGAAGCAGTGAAAAAAAAATCTATTTTCCACCCTTAGTTTGGATTTCAAAGTTGGTTACAAAAACAGGTATCCTAAAAGACTACTTTTGTAACCATTATAGAGACAGAAATTCACAGTAGAGAGGTTTGACCCACTTAGTTAAACCTTCATGGGCACTGGAAACTTGGTAACCTTATAGCAATAGAACAATGATCCCCTGAATATATTACAAAAGATGTCTTTCTTTATAAGCCTATAACCTTTGAAATGTATACAGTGCTTTTCTTCCAGCTGAATCTCTCTTGTTAAAGCTGAAAAAAGCCGTTATCTTAGTAGTTATTTTATATACAGGTAATAGAAACTCATGGAGTTTAAATGATTCATGCTCTCATTTCAATTAGTTTAGCAGCAGGACAGAAAGGCAACATTTCTAGTCCTGAGTACTACACAGCCATTCCACCATGCAACAGTCAGCTCCCAACAACTGCAACAACGCTTATTTTGAACTGAGATTATCCTAGTCCTTGGACACCACCCAGCCCTCCCAATCCAATACTACATCATTTATTAGCACCTGCATCTAGGTGGTAGTTAAGGAAAGGAAAAAAACCTTTTTTTCCCCCAAAGATTTTATTTATTTACTTGACACAGAGAGGGAACACAAGCAGGGGGAGTGGGAGAGGGCGAGCAGCAGACTTCCCACCGAGCAGGGAGCTCGATGCGGGACTCGATCCCAGGACCCTGAGATCATGACCTGAGCCGAAGGCAGACACTTCGCTGACTGCGCCATCCAGGGGACCCCCCCAAAAAACAAACATTCTTAAGAAAACTCCATTTTCTTACTGGTGCGCAACTTCTGATAAAAAGTTTAACAAAGGTATAGGTTTAAATGTTCAAACCAGGGGTGCCTGGGTGGCTCAGTGGGTTAAAGCCTCTGCCTTCGGCTCAGGTCATGATCCCAGGGTCCTGGGATGGAGCCCCACATTGGGCTCTCTGCCCAGCAGGGAGCCTGCTTCCTCCTCTCTCTCTCTCTGCCTGCCTCAGACTTTTCCCCTGCAACCTTTACTCAGAGCACTAAGGCCTAGAACCAGATATCCCACAGATAAAACCCTCACTATAATTACAGTATTCCCAAACATAATCTTTTAAACTCTCACCTTTTATTGGTCTAATTATGACTTCAGAGGCCCGTGTTCTGAGAGACATCTTAAAGATTTTAACCTAACATTAAAGATTAAAGATTTTAACCTAACATTAAATCATGAATTTATACTGACTATATGATTAGCAGTCTAAATCTATAAATGCAGAAAATGGCTAAGAACAAGTTCCAATCTAAAACTAGGCGACAACGAGGCCGGGGAACCTTCTGTACCTCGGAAGCTTATCCGGACGCGGAAAGCACAGACCCGGACCCAGCTGGGGAGATCAGTCCAAGTTCGGGGCGGTGGGGGAGCGTCCTACCTGAGTGAATCCAAGTTTGATTCGTCTTTGTTTGAAGGTCTTGGCAAACTGCTCAAGCTCCTCAAGGTCACTGGGCTCCTCCAGGCTGGGAGTATCGATTCGCTTTGGTGTCGACTGGCTCTGCGGGAGTGTCTGGATCGGGGTGGCCGCTATCGTGCGCGTCGGGGTTGCTGGCTGTTCCAGGGACGGAAGGACACAAGAACAAGTGCACACAATGATCCACTGGGATGTGTCACACGCGAACGACTTAAGGAGCAGCAACCTTTATAAGAACTACATGGACCATGTGACCCGCAGAAGGCACAGCGTACTGGCGCCCGGCGAGGAGGGCAGAGTGCCAGACCGTGTGCGCCACGGTTACGCTTACAGTTAGACACGTCCAGTCCAGGAGAAAAAATTAACTACTCAAAAATGAAACCCATTATACTCGGGTTTTCAAATATATGTGTGCATAAGATACTTGTGTTCAGAGCATACATAACAAATCAGACTATTTTAAAGAATCTCTTCGTCAATATGCCACTTAAGGTTAAGTTTCAAAAGAGCAGGGACCACACCCGTTTTGTTCATCACTAGCACATCTCCAACTTACGACAGAGTGTTATAAAAACAGTTTAAGGGGAGAGTAAATCATCTACAGTTTCAATGACTTAGCTTCTTTTTTGTCTATCTTTTTGTAGACCTACACTTCTTTCCTTTTTTATGCTGCTTTTCATTTGTTGCACTATGTTTATTTAACCTCTACATGTATCTCACACAATTTCTAAGTAATTTTCATATCTTCAATAACAAGTCCTGCATCTCACACATCAGAGTAACTTTTATATTATTAAGACACTGGAAGGGTCCACAGGGCACAAAGTCAAACAGTAAACTTTTGTTTTTACTCAGGTATGACTGACGTAAAAAAAGGTGCATACATTTAATGTGTGCATCTTGAGGAGTCAGAAGATAAGGACACATTCGTGATTGGATACTGTCACCATACACAATGCCCTAAACCTACTCATTACCTCTACCAGGTTCTTCCCTGCCTTGGATCTACTTTCTTAACTCTAGAGATTTTAGAGAGAGAGAGGGAGGGAACACAAGCAGGGGGAGCAGCAGAGGAAGAAGCAGGCTTCCCACTGAGCAGGGAGCCCGATGCAGGACTCGATCCCAGGACCCTGGGATCATGAAGTGAGCCAAAGTCAGATGCTTAATGACTGAGCCACCAAGGGGCCCCTACATTCTTAACTTTAACTGTAATTATAATATATATAATTTTATACTCTGTTTCATAATTATCATTTTCAAAGGCTGACTGAGGAGATATTATCTTAACTAACTTAACAATTTCTTCATTGCTAGATACTTTTTTCATTTATGTTTTCGTTAAGATAGTTAACACATAATGAAAAACCTTGTACATATGATTCTTTTTCCCACCTTCGTAACTAGTTGAGATAAATTCAGAAGTGATTTTTCTATACCTGGATAAAGGGCACACCATAAATAATTCCATGGCTTTTGATACACATCATGTTGGTTCTCACTAAAAAATGCTAGTTTCTTCCACATGATTGTGGTAGCAGTTTTTAAAGAGGTATTGCTAATTAAAGGAGTATATGGTACTTCAATATTGCCTTAATTTGAATTTCTTATTACTCAGAAATTTTCCCACGTGTCAATTATTACCTGTATTTCTTTATCAATCAATTTAGATCCATAGCCATGTGTCCATTAATGGTCTCTTTATTCTAATCCCTGTGGAGCTCACCAGATGTTAGAGATTAAATCTTTATTTGTTGTATTAGTACAAATAGATTTCACAATCTGTTTTTTTCCTTTTCTTTCTCAGTGTACATAGGTTTTAAACTGTCATTTGGGTGAACTTTTTTTTCTTTCTGATATTTTATTGCTTCAAATCTGAGAAAGCTTTCTCTTATTTCTAACTCAGATAAAATTCCTGTAACAGTCTGTTGGCTTCCTCTGTTCTTAAATATTTATTTAAATCTATCTAGAGTTTATCTGAAGACATGAAGGTATACTCTTTCTTCTTTTGAAGAAAATACTAGATTTCCTTATCACACAAACATGAGGCTACTCTGTTTGCTCCAAGCCTGGCTGGCACCTGCCGGTGTGGGTGTTCGATGGCGGAAGGGGCTGCCCAGCCGCGGACTCGAGCCTTCCTGGGAAGTAGCCCAGCTGAGGGTGTCCGGGCCGGCGCGACAGGCAGAGCCTGCGGCTCTGAGTTTTCTCGTAATTTAAATGTGTCCTACACCCCAGACTTCAACCTGGAGAGTGATGTGCTCTTTCCAACCGAACCAGCCGGCCCAGAAACCACGCGTTAGACACGACCCAGGCCTGCAACTGGAGTAAGCTCGTCTCTATCATCCTGTCTCGGTGAGGACAACCAAGCTCCTCTCCCTCAGATGCTGCTGACGCGGAGGGTCGTTCACCCTGACCGTGCGGGAGGAGCCCAACCCCGCACCAACCAAGTTAGAATCCTGCAGCTGCGCACGCCCCAGGGACCCTGGCTGCCGGGCAGAGGTGAGTCTCGGCTATCAAAGTGTGACTTCATCTCCAGGCTTGAAGAAGCCCAGTTCTCCAATGAGAAAGAACTAAAAGTAGCGTGGGTACCTTTCGGTGGGGTGGTTACTGATAAGTTACCCCAACTCCAGAAATCTCAGGCTGGACCGGGCCGGAGCTAGCAACGGCAGAGGAGAAGTCAGCCGCACAGGGGTCAGGATGAAGCCACACCAGCCCTGCCCCGTGAGCTGAGCGTGGAGGCCGGGAAAGAACTGCTGGTACAGGCTTTTCTCCAAACTCCAACCTGCTTTTTATATGCAGCATAGTCACATTGAAATGCAACTTTAAAAGTGTCAGTTTGATGCTCTGGCAACTGTATATAGACACAGAACTGCTGCGACATTAAGATATAGAACATTCTACCCCCACAAAAGTTCCTTTGTGCTCTTTGCCACCAATCTCCACCCTTAGCCCCCAGCCCCTGGCAAGCACTGACAGGATTTCTGTCCCTACAGTTTTGCCTTCTAAGACACCACGCGCACTGAATCGTACAGTCTGCTGCCCTTCGTGCTGGGCTTCCTCCACGTAACACGATGCTTCCAAAATGTACACACGTTGGTGAGTGTTTCACACGTCTATTTCTTTCTATCGCCGAGCAGCATTCCATCATATGGTTATGCCAAAAATGATGTTACCTAGTCACCGGCTGCTGGACATTTAGGTTGTTTCCAGGTTGGGATGATGACGAATAAAACTGCTCTGGACATTTATATACAGGTCTTGGCACGGACATATGCTTTCATTTCTCGGACCAGAATTGCTGGGCCATAAGGTACCCGCATATTTAACTCTGTAAGAAACTGCCGAACTGTTCTCCAGAGCATGTGCTCCAACTTGCAGCCCCACCAACAACATGTGAAAGAACCTAGTTGCTTTACACTTGGTGTTGTCACAGCCTTTTTAATTTTGCCCATTCTAGTGCGTGTGTCGTGATAGTTATCTGCATTTCCCTGATGACTAATGATTTTGAGCATCTTTTTATATGGTTACTGGGCATTCGCATACCTTCTTCTTTGGTGAAGTATTTTCAAATATTTTGCACATACCCCCCTTTTTAAATATTACTGAGTTGTATGAATTTGTTTTAAATTCTGAGCACAAGTCTTATCAAATATAAATTTGAAGAATATTTTCTTCCAGTCTGTGCCTTTTTTAATTCTTTTAACAAAGAATTTTCATTTTTATAAATTAATCATTTTCTTTTATGATTACTGCTTCTTTTGTCCTATTCTTAAAAAAAAAAGATTTATTTATTTTAGAGAGAGAGAGCACACATGCAAGAGCCAGAGGAGGGGCAGAGAAAGAGGGAAAGGGTAAGAAGCAGACTCCTACTGAGCATGAAGTCCAAAGTGGGGCTTGACCCACCACCCTGAGAGCATAACCCGAGCTGAAATCAAGAGTCAGATGCTCAACTGACTGAGCTACCCAGATACCCCTTTCTGTGTCCTATTTAAGAAATCATTACCTTGGGGTGCCTGGGGGGCCCAGTTGGTTAAGTATCTACCTTCCACTCTGGTCAGGATCCCAGGGTCCTAGGACAGAGCCGGGCATCAGACTCTCTGCTCAGCAGAGTCTGTTTTTCCCTTTCCCTCTGCACACCCCTCATCATTCTCTCTCTTACTTTCTTTCTTAGATAAATAAAATCTTAAAAAAGAAGAAGAAGAAGAAGAAGAAGGAGGAGGAGGAGGAGGAGGAGGAGGAAGAGGAGGAGGAGGAGGAGGAGGAGAGGGAGAAGAGAGAAGTCATTTTCTTTCCAAGGACACAAAGATTTTTCCTTAAGTTTTCTTTTTTTTTTTTTTTAAGATTTTATTTATTTATCAGAGAGAGAGAGGGAGAGAGAACGAGCACAGGCAGACAGAATGGCAGGCAGAGGCAGAGGGAGAAGCAGGCTCCCTGCAGAGCAAGGAGCCCGATGTGGAACTTGATCCCAGGACGCTGGGATCATGACCTGAGCCGAAGGCAGCTGCTTAACCAACTGAGCCACCCAGGTGTCCCTTCCTTAAGTTTTCTTCTGGAAGGTTAGGTCCACAACCCATTTCAAATAAATCATTGTAAATTGTGTAAAATAGAATCAAGATTCTTTCTGGGGCGGGGGGTGTCTATGGATAACCAAAGGCTTTCCTTTTCTCACTGAAATCCTTTGGCATCTTTGTGGAAATCAGTTGGCCACAGATGTGTAGGTCTCCCTACCCTTGTATTCTGTTTCATTTCTATCCGCGTGCCGTTATCATCCTATCTTCGTTACACAGCTTTATAACATTTCTTGACATTAGGTAGTCTTTCAACTTTTTTACTTTTCAAAATTGTTTGATTACTCTAGGTCCTCCACAATTCCATATAAATGGTAGAAACACCATGCCAATTTCTATTTTAAAAAGCCTGTTGGGTACTGATTGGAATTGTGTTGAATCTATAGATGAATTTGGAAAAGAATTCACATTTTAGCAATGTAAGTCTTCTGACTCATGAACATATCATATCTGTCCATTTATTTAGGTCTTCTCTAATTTCACTTCTCTAATTTCAGCAATATTTTGTAGTTTTCAATATGTAAGTCCTACAGATGACTTGTTAAATTTACCCATAAATACTGTAAGTATTTTTCCTCTTAATTTCAACTTCCAAACAATCCTTGCTAATACTGACTGATTACAAGAATCTAGTCCTACATTCTTGCTAAACTCACTTATTAATTCCAATAGCCTTTTGTAGATTCCTTAGGATTTCCTATATTGACCATCATGTCATCTACCAATTAAGAAGGGTCTACATCTTCCTTTCTAATCTGTATGTCCTTTATTCCTTTTTCATGTGTTATTGCACTGCTAGGCCCTACAGTACCATGCTGAGTAAGTGCTGACAGTGGACATCCTTGCCTTATTCCTGATTTTAATGGGAAGTATGATGTGAGGTCTGTTTGTTTTCGGTAGATGCTTTTTACTGGGTTTGAAAACTACTCCTAGTTTGCAAGAGTTTTTTTTAAAACATAAACAGATGTTGAATTTTGTCAAATGTGGCAATGTGCTTTGAAGACTATAGACAAAGAGAATCAGAGCCGGAAGAGAGACTCAAGATCAGTCAGTTCAACCTCAACTACAGAAGAAGAAATGATGGTCCACAGAGTAAATTGACATGCTCAGACTCACAGGTGGTTAAGAAGCAAATGATGTATTAAATCTCAAGATGCTTACACATTAACTCTAGTAAAAATGAGCCAAAGCAACATCTTAGAGCCAAAAGGAAAGAGAACAGAGATCAGAACTTCTTTGCAATTTCTGAGAAAGTGCAAAGGACAATGATGTGTTTTAACTGAGGCACTAGGTTTCTAATGCAAGTGGAAATCTCTACAGCCAACTGAGGGGAGGGGTCAAGGAAGACGAGATGATGCTCGAATAGCCAGAACTCACTGCTCAACTGTCACTAACAAAGTTATTCTTTATAAACATATGAGCAAACAGGAGCTCCCTGAAGACGGTCAAAGACGACATCAGTTCGGTGGCATTGCTTTATCAAGCTGGTAAGTTCTTTTTTGAATCTTTGATCACTTTGTGAAAACTATCTGGATTATTTTTATCAGGGTATGATGGGGTTTTGCTGTGTTTTATGATTTAACCAAGTCCAGGCATTCGTCAAAACATCAGGGTAAGAGAAAACAACCATCCCTGGGAGAAAACTGACCTGGGAGGTGAGGGTGATGCTTGGCTGCGACTGTAGGAGGTTGGCTTGGCTTTGCTGAGGTAGTTGCGTTAAAAGATTTTGCGCTTGCAGGAGACCTATAAAACACAAACATGTCGTGTCAGAAACACTACAGATTGCTTTGAACATATGGCAAAACAGAGAGTAAGAAAGTGAAGTGAAAATTTCCAACTGATCTCTTGATAGTTTTATCAGTCTAAAAACTCTTAATGTCTTATTTGCCTAAAATTCAATCTTGTTAAATACAAGTTGGGCAGGAAGACAGGGACCATTAAAGTAAAGGTGACGCATGTGTTTGATACTGGCTCTGAGGGGCTCTCTGGTCGGCGAATCCTTTATGTTAGTTAAGGAATGGATGAAAATGAACAAGTACTTACTCTAAATGGAAGCAGCCTGAAACTCTAAAAAGAGCTCACCTTCTTAACCCAGACTGCATTAGAAACTGCCAGCAGATGCTGGACCAGAGGACTGTCTGGTTCATGGAGGGAGCAGACTGTCTATTAAGTGGGACAGGTATTTACACAATGGAAGATTTTAGAATGAATCACCAAGATGAAGAAGGCTAAAGGGCAGAAATAACGAGGCATTGGTAGAGACGCACTTATGTTTCTTGGGGTGAAGACATGATACCCTGAAATCTCTCTACACTGACTCCAGTAACCAATCTTACAAACATGACTGAACTCAACTGTTTGATACAGAAATGACAAAACAACATTTGGTATTAAAAGGCCTCAAACTTTTTTTTATAACTCAAAGACCTGCAACTTCTAATATAATAAATACCCTTGTCCTTCTCAAACTTTAAAACAAATGATTGTTAAAAGCATATGCTTTTAATGCTCAGCCCACATGTTGTAATACATTCTCAAGAAAAACTATCAAAATACTAGAAGTAATTTACGTGAAAGATTTCATTTAGATTTTTGGCCAAGCTCTCGGTCCCCCCTCGCGACTAAACAGAGGAAAGGCCGTGAAGGACTTGACCGAAAGATGCGTTTTTCTTAACACGAGCACTGAGTTGGGAGTTAGAGTCAATGCGGTAAAGCGGCTGAGCTGACGGACAGTTCCCGCGCCGGCGGCCGGCGTAGCAGCCCCCGCACGACGGCCCGGTGCGCGCACGGGAGCGCCGCTCACCCTGCTGGCCCTGGGGCGTCTGGGAGATGATGAACTGCGCGGGCTGCAGGCTGGCGGTCGGGTGCACCAGCACGAACTGCTGCAGGTTGAGGTTCTGCTGCTGCAGCTGCTGCAGCTGCTGCAGGTCCTGGAAAACACAATGAAAGCACAGCTTGGAGATCCCGAAATCGAACTCCCTGAGTCATCAGGTTCCGCAGAGGATGAACCGGGTCATCCAGATAAAAAAGAGTCAATATGTATTTTACAGTCTTCCATCTTCGGAACAGGGTGTGCCTGGGACGTTCGCGAAGAGGAAACAAAGAAGAACCCGGAGCGGCCGGAGGACTCAGGAGCTCTGTGGCAAGCTACTGCGTCCTGACTTGGGCCAAACCTAATTTCCAAGAGTTATTACAAATTTCCTCAGAACAAACGGTTGCGGTTGAGTTTGTAACATGTAAAGACCAATATGGGTTTTACAAATCGAGTGAGAAAAGAATATGTTGAGTTTTTGAATATTCAATTGATCGTTCTCTTAAATAAAAAATGAGAGCACTGTGTCTGAATTTGCATCAATAAAGTATCTATAATGATTCATTAAACTTGGTACCAGTCTAACTCAACTGCGAAATCAGTGTAAAAATAACTAAAAAGAGCTATCCACATAAAAATCCAATCCACAGCATACTGAACTGCTTATCTCGGCTTAGTGTTTCATAGTTTTCAATGTGCTTCCGTGCACGTTATCTTATTAGAATAATGTCAACACAGGTCTCAAATCTTACACACTTAGCATGTATTTGGTGATGAAGCAAGAGGCCAAAATTAAACATCATCTGGGTAAAGCTTGTATAGAACAGCCATAAAAATTCGTCTGACATGTATTCTTTACTCAAGAGTTAACTGGCTCCTTTGCAATATCTAGTCCAACCCGAGCTACACTGCAAATCCACTGCCGCACTTCGGAGTCTCCTCTAGGGCCTACGACCATCTTCTCGCACTAGACTCCTAAGAATTCTTGGTAGGACTTACCGATACGACTACCTGTACTTTCTTCCTCTCCTCAAGATAAAGGGTTTTGTTGACCTTTCTGTGCATCGTAAATAACTTTTTATTATCTGTGGATACTTTGCCCTAAAACGTGAACGTGGAAACCAAACACCACTTTCCTCACTCCGGAAAGTGAGCGCCTCGCTTCGCAGCGGAGAGCTGGCGCCATCCCCCCCACTCGAGCGGCACCGTCGCCGCCGCACATGTGAAAGAGCCAGGCCTGCCATGATTAGCTGATTAAAATAAATGCAGTCATCCTCGGCTCCAGAAACATGCCAACTGATTATTCAAGAATTGTCACTTCATATAAACAGTCAGTTATTCACATAATCAGTTATGTGTTTATAATATCAACTCAAATTAGCAAACAAACGTGTTACTTCCAGCTCAGTGGCAGCAAGGAAGGCTGCCGTGTACTTCCCTGAGCCGGAGCCTCTCGGGTCTCGACGGGCCCACAGACAACCCGAGCGAGAATGCTGCACCACAGGAAACCAGCCGTTTTTTGCCTCCCCCCCCCCCCCCGTGCCCCGGCCACCAGAGACACTCACCTGGGCGATCTGGATGGGCTGCGACAGGGGGATCTGCGTCATGGGCGTGGCGGCAGAGGCGGAGATGGTGGCCCCAGCAGCGCTGTGCTGTTGGCTGGCCGAGTGCTGCTGCACGGCAGCGGCCAGCAGCTGGGCCTGGGCCTGGGCCTGCTGGAGCAGTAACTGTTGCTGCGCCGGCGTCAACGTAAGCTGAGCACAAGCACAACCAACAGTCTGAAAGGTGTGAAGGACAAGGGCCCCCAGGGCAAGCCACCTGCTCTGCGGCAGGTAACGCCAGTGGCCCAAAACCTCAGCCGGCCAACCGCACCGGCGAGCCCGAGCCTGCAACGTTCATCGGCAATCAAGCTACGGTTCCCAGCCGAACATTTCAATTAAAGTGGTGGCCCTCACTCTGGACTTAAATAATCATTCAAGCTTGTCCTGGGCCCCAGGGTTCAGGCAAAAAAGTAATTAACTAGTAAGCAAGGAAAAAAAAGAATCAGTGCTGACAGGATATGAAAAGAAATTTACACCCAACAGAACAGCAAGTGATTAGTCAGATGAATGAGGAACAAGGATGCTGGATCTGACCACGGAAAGAACTGATAAGGCCCAGCTGCTTCCCATTAGCATGAATCTCTGCCATATTCCATCATTTCCATTATGTCCTAAGATATGACTAAAGAATATGAGCTCCATTTGTTTCTTTTCCAAGTCTCCCTACAGCCCCTCCCTAACCCAGTCTTTTCTATTATTGAAAGCACTGGGTCTGGGCAACTTTACATCCCCTTTCCAATACATTATCTCAGTGAAACAGGTGGTGACAGCCGCTCTCTTCACATGCAAATGAATGCTAAAGCCCAGGTTTAACAGAAGCACCAGCCACAGGAATCCTTAAGACTGTGGTGGACACTAGTCTCTCAAAACAAACCCATAGAGTAAAACAAGCAATGTATTTAGAGCAGATTTAAACTGGCTTTCATAATGCAACTTACTTCAGATACAAGGTAGTAAGTGTGTTTTGCCTTCCTTTTGGTGGTATGTTCCCATCAAACAAGAAGGAACCACAGAATCTTTTTCGTATGCTTTTCTTTTTTTTGGTAATCTCTACCCCCAACATGGGGCTTGCGCTCACGACCCTGAGATCAAGATTCGCATGATCTTCCAACTAAGCCAGCCAGGCGCCCCACCTTGGGATATACTCTTAGGTGCATTCACCTGGTGGCACAACCCTCCTTCTATTCTAGAAGGGTCCAACAGAACTTCCACACGAGAGGCGTAAGTATCAAAATCAAACCATCCAAAAACTTAATACCTATCAAGGTATATACTTGCTTATAAATATTTTCTCTAGTATATAAACATATTAATTTTTACTGAGAGGATTTTTATTTTAAATTTTATTTTGTTTAAATTCAATTAACATATAGTATATTATTAGTTTCAGAAGGAGAGCTCAGTGATTCATCAGTCGCGTTTAACACCCAGTGCTCATTCCATCACGTGCCCTCCTTAATACCCATCACCTAGTTACCCCATCTCCACCCCATCCCCCCTCCACCAGCAAGTTAAGAGTCTCTTGTTTGTTTCCATTAAGGGGATTTTGAGAATAGTTTCACAACAATTCTTAAAAGAGCCTTTCCACTACCAAGACATACTTAACTAAAATAAATAAAAAATTGTGTGGGCTGATGTGATGTGAATTTAACAATAACAAATAACTCTTCCTTATAATTCTCCTAGCTTTTCCAGCCACAAAAATAACAGACAAGTGTTACCCTGGAAAATATTTTGTGTCTTACAGAAAAGAGAGTTGAAAAGTTAAAAGCTTAATATATCCATAAAGGCCAATTTCTTACCAATAATAGTAAATGACATTTATTGACTGTAATGTGCCCAGCACCATTCTTTAAGTTTTTCAAGTATTGTTACTCTTAATCTTTGTAATAGTACTGTGAGACAGCACCATGCATGGGTAACACCCCCATTTAACTGAAGGAAAACTGAGGCAAAAAGAGATGAGATCATCAGCTCGAACAGCAAACTGCAGAGCCAAGACAGGAGACCAGGGGTTTCATCGGAGAACACTACACAGGATCTTAAAAAGAATGTTTTTCTTTTGTAGGTACTAGCCCTTTCTCTCACTTCCGTTCTGCAGCAGTAGCAGAGCTCTAAACTTATCACTATAATTACACCAATGTCATGGTCTCAGGCACAGGATGACCCCACCGCACGATGAAGCAGCAGCTGAAACACGACTTTAAAGAAGTCTTTAGTTTATCTAGAGCATCTGCAAAAGTCAGAAAAGATACCCTGAAAACTTAGGACAAATTCCTTTTGCAGAGCTGCCTACAGTCTAGAAAATTCCTGAAAGAAAACGGTGCCAGGCATAGCAAACAGTTCTAATCTGAGTATTGGCCAATGGCAGTTCTGACACAAAGAAAGTTTATGAAAGTTTATTATAATTCTCTCAGTGAAGACTTACCCCGGTTATCTGTCCTCCAGCCAGCATCAGCTGGGTCTGGGGGATGGCCGCCTGCACTGACGGCTGCTGGGAAGGCTGGCTCGGCTGCTGTGGGTCCCCCGACTCTTCGTTAGATTTAGACTGAGGTGGGCGGGGGATGGTGGGAAGGAATAAGAGAGTTCAAATAATTGATTAAAAGACTCTGTATTTTAAGAATTATTTACAACATGGATTTATCTAGTCGTGAGTTTTCTGGTTTCATTCTTTTTCTTTCTTACCAATCTTTGTATTTTCCTAATTTTAACATAATAAGTTTTTAGACTTTTTTTCTTTAAAAGTCACATTTATTATCTGCTGTTTTCCAACTGTAAAAGAAATGATCAAATATGGAACCTAGAAAAGTAGAAAAATAAAATATAAAAATTATCCACATACAAGTTTTTGGTATAGACTTTTTATTCCAATGCTAGCAAAGCTGCAATTACAACTCTGAAGAAGCAAAAATAATTGGGTCCTCCACAAATCAACAGATTGTTTAGAAACCCAAATCCTCAATTTTTGGAAATACGGAGTAAGGGAAGAGCACATTCTCCATCCACCTCTATGCCAGACCGTCCCTGCCAACATTGTGAAATGCGTTTGGTGGTCAGCCTGAAACTTCCTTATACATCCTCTCAGAGACTGGTTACTTGAACCACAAAACTTTTCATCTAATATTTAAAATAAACGTAAATTCAGCATCTCCCATCAAGTAATATACAAATTTAGAGGGAAAATGCTGCAGTCCAGAGGGAAAGAGAACACACTCCTAAAAGGGACACTAAGAGGAAATTTTATGGTAATTAAAACTGGTTATGCAGAACATTAAAATTCTGCATAGATTTGCATATTTCCCACCACCTGTTTTGGGGACCGCAGCAAGGCTAATTAACATAAAGGCTCTGATTAATCCTGCCAGTCACTGAGAGAGAATTACAGTGCAGGACTGTAAACATGCTGCACTGGGGACACAGCCTGTTTGCCAACATCTCTCCAAGGGATGGAAGTTCACCATGGCAACCAAGGCAATTTTCCGCCTCCTCTCCCTCAGAAAGGAAGGTCACATTATCTCCTTTTCTTTTCTCTTCTCGCTTCCATGTATTACTAGGTCTGTATTCCACTGGGTTCATGGAATGCTCAACCCAAGGTCTTCAGTCATTAGCAACACTGGAATCAATCTTCTAGAAAATGGTTTTTCCCTCTTGACTGCCAGTGACCCAAACACTACAACGAAAGGAAGCAGCAGATCGACTGAATTATGGAGTAATGCATGATAACTGAACTTTGCATGTTTTACCATATGGTTTGTATCAGCAAAGTAGCCAGATTTAACTTTGGTTTTTAAAATTTTGACTGTATGAAGCCCATCAAGGACTATCAACAGGTTTAGTTATAAACCTTAGAATCACAGCATTTTAGAGCTGAGAGGAACCCTGCCAAGCTTCTACACTTCCCTACTTAAATAAATGTAAGAGAAAAGGAACCCCAGGAGGTGGAGTGACTTGCCAAAGGTCACACAGCTAGCCAGTGGCAGAGGGAGGCAAACCTAAGACCTCTGTCTCTCAGCCCAGTGTTCTTTCCTCCACACTAGAAAATGATGAGAAAGACATCTGGAAACAAAAGGGCATTAAGACACTATGTGGAGAAAAAAAAAAAAAAAAAAAAAGACACTATGTGGCTTCGTGTTCAGGTATGTGTTATCACTACATAACTGAGAAACTGTTATTAAACTTACATATCCAACTCTGAAAGTACACTTTTCTTGTTCGCCTTTTGTCATTCATGGTAGCATAATACGAACTGAATTTTCATCAATGTCAGTAATTATCATTACTTGGATCTTAATGACATTAGGCAATAAAGAAAGGTAATACTTCTAAATATTTCCTAATTATAAAATTGCATGCTCATTATAAAAAAATCTAAAAAGTATGGTAAAAAAGTGTAAAACTGATCCCTAATCCCCTGGCCCAGCTTACCTGTACATTTAAAGACTGAGCAGCGGCCTGTAAACTTGTTCCGGCGAGCTGGACCTACAAGTACAATAATCAGGAAAAGTTCTAGTCTAGTCCTATGGATACCGACTGCATCACTCTAAGTTGACATCGACAAGTATTTCAAGAATCTCTACTAAGTGTATGTCACTGAGTTAGAACTGAGAACACAAAGAGGTCTATCTTACAGGGTTAAAACTTTATGGAAAAGCTCCCACCAGAAAATTATGTTAACATTTCTTTTCTTTCTTTCTTTTGCCAACAGCTTTAACCTTCGTTCTTTTAAAATTTTTATTGTGTTATGATAGTCACCAAAAACACATCTAACATTTTTTTTCTAAAATCTAGAAAACGAGTTTTCTGAACTAGCACCAGCAGGCATGCTGTACTTGTATCAGGCATTCCTCATGTGCCATCCTGTTTATACCCACGGACACGGAGATCCTAAAAGCCCAACTCATCTTCCGTATCAAAGAACACGTGAGAACAAGCTACTCATATACGTCACTGTCGTCATTATAAACAATCAGAATTATCTACTCATTCTAATTTCAAAATTTTCATGTACACACCAGAGTAAAAACCTTACATATATATACACAGTCAAGTCCTTAAAACATTTATAGTCATAACTCAAGAGTGCTGGCTGAAATAAAGAATCTGTCCTATAAACCACACATGAAAGTGTCATAGTATTTATTTAATACATTTCATGCATTCAGAAAGTTAAAACCATGACTTTCATTAGAATAAGGATCATTATTTGACAACCATGTTGGCGATAACTGATTCTGCAAGTGTCATCCATGGACGCTCTACTGGGTGAAACCGGAGGAGTAACGTGACAGTCATACATTCCCCCTATCTCTTCATAGCTCTCAACTAATCACAAAAGATAAAGTTCCCAGCGATGACACATGTGCCTTCTGGTATGATCCACTAAGAACACAGCATACTTACGTCGTATGTAAGTAACATACGACTGAGCAACAGTCTTCAAAAATGTCAGTGCCAGGGCGCCTGGGTGGCTCAGTGGGTTAAGCCTCTGCCTTCGGCTTAGGTCATGGTCTCAGGGTCCTGGGATGGAGCCCCGCATTGGGCTCTCTGCTCAGCGGGGAGCCTGTCCCCCTCTCTCTTTGCTGCCTCTCTGCCTATTTGTGATCTCTCTCTCTCTGTGTCAAATAAATAAATAAAATCCTTAAAAAAAAAAAAAGTCAATGTCTTGAAAACAAAAGCACTATGTTAGGAGAACAAGAAGATAAACTAGGGTAGAATAAGTGGCAGCCTAAAGGACAACAGCAGCAGTCAGCAGGAAAAGCAGTTAATGCAAGAGGCACTGCAACGTGCTACACAGGATCCTGGCAACCGAATGGATATAGATAAAAAAGTCATGAATTATTCCAGGGCTCAAATCTGAGAGACTGAAAAAAAGGTAACGTCATTGCCAGGGAAGCCAGTAAGTTCCATTTTGGATCATCACATGGCATCAAGGTTTCCTGAAGTTAAATACAAGTGTTAATATGAGCTCAAGACGGAGTTCAGAGTGAAAATGATCAGAGACACCCTTTATTTACAACTAACAGTCCTGCTAGGAGCTGAGAGCTCTCAGAAGCAAACCCGGACACTTACAGAGAACGTATTCTAGATGCAGTGTAGTCAAAGGAGGATTATCTGAAACGATAATATGTTTAAGACCCAAAGGCTAAGAATTCAGCCAGAGAGCCAGAGGAAAGAGTTTTGGGTACACAGATTTAAAGGAAATAAAGTTTCTGTGGGACTTTATTTAAATCATGTTGTTTCTGGGCAGAAGTCTGTTGAGGAACAGGACAGTTACAGGTCTTCAAGTATCCCCTAACGGATTATTTGCTGAGTGGACTACCTGAATCAAATGATCAAATTTAGTATCACAGTAATGGGACAATGTGATACCACAGACTTAATGTATTCCTGTCAAAAACTTGGATCCAATCACAAGGGAAAAATTAAACAAACCCAAATTGAGGGGGTCTTCTCTAAGACAGCTGGTATCTACTTTTTAAAAATGTCAATCTCATGAAAGATGAAGACAGAACTGAGGAATTCTTATAGAATGAAGAAGCCAAACACACAGGAAACCCGAATGCAAGGTGTGGACCGGACTGTAGATCAGAAACACTTATGTATGGACTGAACATTAGATAACAAATTTCATCGATGTTAAATTTCTGGAATTTGAAATTTATATTATAGTTGTATAAAAAAATACTGTTTTTAGGAAAAATGTGATGAAGTATTTAGAAGTAGAAGGTCACACTGCCTGCAACTTGATTCTAAAAAAAAAAAATATGTATATACATTTTTTTATGTGTTTGTACACACACATACACACACACACACACACACAGAGCAAAGATTAGAACAGTAATTGTTGGTGATTCCAGGTGAAGGGCTTTTGGTTGAAAACTGTTCTATAGTTTTAACTTTTCTACAGATTTGAAAACGTTCAAAATAGAAAGTTGAAAAAAGAGTGAGAGCATCCTTTTACCACTTAATTTAGCTACCTCCCAACATCCTTCAAATTTTAGCTCAAAGGTCATCCTCTCTGATTAATGTCTTAGATTGTACAGGTTGATCTAATTATTTCTACCTCTCTCTTCCTATACAACCTTACCATTCACTTATTCAGTAAATAATTACTGAACATTTATTATATTTTGGGCTCTTTGGAAAATGCTGGGATAAAGATAAATGAAAAAAAGTGCCCATCTTTATGGAACTTACGGGGTAACAGAACTAAAGTCATCTACTTTGTATACGTGTACACACATTTGTAATTATGGTGAGGAAAAGGTCAGAGTGTGAACCTGGTCAATAAGAGGGCTAGAAACAGAAGGTAAGTGTCACACTTATGCTAATTATGTCTCTAATCAGACGGTGAGCAATTCTGAGGGGACTGACATCTTGCTGGAGAAGTCAGTGATGTCAAGATTTCATATCAAATTCTTTGGTTTAAAGTCCTTTGGTTTGGGGCATATTGAAGATTCAGTGATTTTGGTAATCAGCAGCTGGAGGCCTTGGAGCTGATGTAAGAGTTGCACTCTTCTTAGAATTTGGATCCAGTGAAGAAAAGACTGCATATCATCTATGTATCTTCGGGACTTTTTAATACATTATGACCATCACAAATTTAAGCTAGATAGAGACTTAATATGCACCATATACATTGACTACCAAAAATTTTATTCCTCTAAGAAACCAGAAAACTTGTTGGAAGCTACAAATGTTTTTACTTTTTACTTTTACTTTTATTTTTTGAAGACTATTTATTTGAGACAGGGAGAGAGAGAAGAGTATACAGAGGGAGAGGGGTAAGCAGGCTCCCACTAAGCAGAGAGCCTGATGTGGGGCTCGATCTCAGGACCCTGAGACCATGACCTGAGCCGAAGGCAGACAGTAAACCGAATGAACCACCCAAGCACCCCTACAAATGTTTTCAGAAGAAAGAACTGACATGAAGATAGTATTTTTGGTTTTCTATAATATATTCTTAAATTATTTTAGATGCTAATATATCTTAATATTTTATCTAGAAGTTCCATATAGAAGTTTCTCTACTTTGGGAAACACAAACAAAGCTATGCACCTGAGCAAAACTGTGTCACTAGGGCCTCACTCCAACAGAAGATGCTAACTGCCTCCTGCACACCACACCTTTGAATCTGTGAATAAATGGGCTTTTGAGGACCTTTCCAAAATTGCACCTGTTTCAAGTGCAGGAGCTTCTTTTATATAAAATTCAGATACGGGGCACCTGAGTGGCTCAGTTGGTGGGGGGACTGCCTTCAGCTCCAGTAGCGTTCCTAGGTTCCTAGGATCCAGCCCCTCATCTGGCTCCCTGCTCAGCAGGGAGTCTGCTTCTCCTTCTCCATCTCCCTGCTTGTGCTCTCTCTCTCTGTGTCAAATAAATAAAAATTCTTAAAAAAAAAATAAAGTTCAGGTAGTCTAAAGACATAATTTATGAGCTCAGGAGACATATGAAGACATAATTTATGAACACATATTCTGAGCGGAGAGCCTTACACAGGTCTTGGGCAATGGTGGCCACGTCCTTCTGGATGACTCTGTAATTTACTACCTTCAGTGAGCCTCACAGACCCACAGTGACAAAAACAGTAACTCAGTTGTTATGAACATTCCATTCATAACAAAGAATTCTTTTTTTTTTCCCCCAAAGCTGTGAGGTCAATAACAATACAGTCAATTAAACTATGATTCCAGACTAACCATTCAAAAGGACACAATCAGATGTGACTAGCACCAGGCTTTAATCAATTTAAAAAGTCCCACACACTGAAATAACTACCCCAGGCCTTCACATTCCACGCCTCCGGTTTTTACTCTCCCTTATGGTTGAGCAGAGAGCATTCTACCTGATGGAGATGTCCAAGGAAAGCCTGGGCCTGGGCTGTTGAGATGGCTCCTCCAACGGGCACAGGCTGCTTCTGAAAGTCCAGACCATTGGTTTGTGTGCCTAGAAAGCAAGCAAAAGCATGTAACTGTTAAAAACAAACTCAACTGAAACAAGCACTAGACTTCAATCACGAGCATTGATCAGGCATACTATTTTGTAGAAGCACTTTCCTAAGTACCCCCAGGGACGAGAAGGGATTTACAGCACAAGGTTTTCTCTTCTGAAGGGAGGACTGTGGGACAAGTAAATGAACACAAAGCTTAAGAAACAGAAACAAAAATATAAATACTGAATTCTAATCATAAGATGGTGTTACAGAATTCAGAAGTGATGCAGGGATTGGGGTCACAATAAGCATGGCACTTACAGGGCTTAAGGAAGAGATTATCATCACTACTACTGTTGTAAAGAATGGTACAGACAGATTTCCAAGGAGCGACTGACGCTCTCTTCTGGTCTCCCCCTTCTCAATATTTGGCACGGGCAGAAGAAATTCACTGGTGACTCTGCAAGATGATTGGTTCTTTTTATTTATTTATTTATTTATTTGACAGAGATCACAAGTAGGCGGGGGGGGGGGGGGGGAGCAGGCTCCCTGCTGAGCAGAGAGCCCGATTTGGGGCTCGATCCCGGGATCCTGAGATCATGACCTGAGCCAAAGGCAGAGGCTTAACCCACTGAGCCACCCAGGCGCCCAAAGGTGATTTATTCTTAACTTACACTTTTAATACATGACAATCTGATGGCAAAAACAACAATTTACATGATAAACAAAATAGTTTTACTGATTTCTTCAATTCTAAAGTATAGATTGCTACATACATGTAATTAGCAAGAGCCCTGCTATAATTATAATCTTCCAAATGTTATGCCTGTGCATTTTAACCACTTATGCTGCAGTCTGATGCTAGAATAGGACTAATTTATGGAAAGACATACCATCCGAATGTTCAGAAATATTTATTAAGGATATAATACGTTGTTTTCAAACTATAATATCCAGATATAACTTAGAAATTACCTAAATTCCTTGTATGCAATAAAATGTAACAGACCACAGGAACCTGCAAGAATCACTGAGGCTCACAAATGTGGCTCTGAACTTCCTCTTCCAACCACTCAGACAACCTCTGCCTGCCCGTCCTCACTCCAGTGTGTGCACACACGGAGAACGCTGGTCAGGACAGGATAAGCCAGAACCTTAAGCAGTATTTCTAAATGGCTACTCACTTCTGCCATTATATATCCTAACTAACATCTGGCAAATGTATCACTTTAATAAGAATAATGAGGTAGATCACATGACTCCAAAGAATTATTAAAGGTTTCCTTGAGATAATTATAAAAGGAGTATCTATACATTTCACTTGCTTAAAACCTCATAATGGTTGCTCTTTTGTATTTTTTCCCTGGCTTCCCATAAGCAGAAAATGAAAGAATTATCTAGACATACAAAGGGTCACTTTCATTGGCCACATGCAGAAATTTCATTATTTTACACATTTGGTCATTAGCTGCTGTCTATATTCCTATGCAGAAAATCATTACTGAGGTTGCTTTTAAGATTGTTCACCCTTAGAGAATTATGCTCCACATATATTACACAAATCCACAAGGCTAAAAGAAGATGAGGTTTTGAAAAACGGAGACAAGCACCCGAAGATTAAAACATCACCAATACAGAACTCTTCCAGAACCAAATATTTCACTCTCGTGGAGACCATGAAAATTCTACACACTGCTTCCACTATCAAGTCGCCGCAAAAATGATATCCCTCTTGTAAATCACAAAGCACTATATGACAAGACTGGCTAATTTCTATCCCTGGTACAGAGCCTACAGCAGTGGCCTACAGCTAATGTTATTTAAGTACCCTGGCTCTACCAGCTCAGAGGACACATAAAGGCAGGACACCCAAAGCTAGTGAAGTACAAGAACATTCCTAGACAACAGTTCAGATAAACAGAGAGTCAAGATGCAAAAGAAGGTTTGTGTTTTTTTTGTTTGTTTGTTTTTGGTTTTGGTTTTTTTTTTTTTTTTTTCCAGTAAAATTCTGAGGCTCCACGAGGAGGTAAGGGTTGGAAGAAAGTAGATATCACATAGAAACCATTCTTGTAAATCATAAAGACCTAAATTGGGCTAAAAGGAAAAGAAAGGGGAACAGGCAGACAGACACCCATACATACACACATTTAACATAATTACGAAGACAGTACAGGGAGACAATGATGGTGGGAGCCAAAACCAAATGCATGTCAGAGAAAATAGAACATCCAAATAAAGAAAGGGTGGAATTAACAAGTTGGGAGAGAAGGTGAACAATGTAAGAAGATTAAAATAGCACATACAGAATTTGAGAAACCCCAAAACATGTAAGAAAAGTGATCCAGAAGGCATTTAGAAATGACAAAGTCCAAAGCTAAAGATTCTATAAGATTGCCACAAGAACAGTGTTACTGAGGTGGACCTCAGAGATCTTGAATCCAACCTCCTTATTTTATTGGTAACAGATTAAGGAATCTTAAGTGAACTGTTCAAAATGCCATAGCTACTTAGTGGAAGAGCCAAGACAAGGACAAGGTTCCCTGATTCTGTGTAATTACTCACAGAGAAGTGATAGTTGTAATATAGAGTAAAAATGTCAATCAACTAAGAGTGGATACAGAGAGAAGAAGCCTGAAGATAAGAGGGCACCTACATTAGGAGATGTAGAGATAAAGAACCAGAGAGGAAGCAGTGAGGAAACAGGGAGAAAAAAAATAAAAAAAATCCTTCAGGACTAGGGTGCTTCAGGAGCCAGGCAAAAGAATCCTACAAGGATGGGGTAGTTTACTACTGCCAAATGGTACAGAACAGGATCAAATACTGAACAAGAAATTAATCCAGACAGACTAAATGAAAGGCAGTAATAAAAGTAAGGCCAAAACTTAATGAAATAGGAAAAAAAACACATAACAGAAATACCAAGTTGGTTCTTTCAAAAGAATCATACAGCTTAGAAGAAAAAAGTAAAAGGGAAGGAGCAAATAATTTAAGGATAACAGAAAGAAGGACATAATAAAAAAAATGCTACAAACACTAAAGATAGAATATCATGAACCAATAAAATAGACACCAATAAAATTAAAACTGAGAAATGGCTTACTCTCTAGAAAATATAACTTACCAAGACTGACTCAAGAAGAAATAGGAAATGCCAAGGGTCCTACAGCATTTGAAGAAATGTCATATGTAAGTAAAAATCTTCCCAAAAGGAAAAATGAAAACCTAAACAATTTTACTCTGCTTGCTTCCAGAAATCAAAGGGACAAGTAATTCTAATCTTAAGTAACTTTTCCAGAGTATGGGGAAAAAAGGGAAACAATTTCTAAGTCATTTTGTGAGGTCAGCATAACCTCACTACCGAAACCTGAAAAAGATGAATAAAGAAAACAAAACAAACAAACAAAAATACATGCTAGTTTTACTCACAAACATACATAAAAATATCCTAAATAGTATTAGCAAAAATAAGCTAATAAGATAAAATATTTGGAGTTTAAGGGTTAAAAAAATCAATGTGATTCATCACATTAATTAAAGGGGACAAATCATTTAATTGACTCAAAAGATTAAAGAAAATCCTTAGATAAAATTCAATATCTACCTATGACAAAAATTCTATGCATAGGAACAGAAATAAACTTCCTTAACTTGATAAAAATTAACAATAAAGCATTCCCATTAATATTAAGAACAAGATAAGTGTGCCAGCTACTGAAAGCCTCAAGCAACAAACAAGGTAAGAAAAGAAAATACACCAATTGGAAAAAGAAACAAAACTTTCTTTTCAGATGATTTTTATAATGCATATAGAGGCCTAAGAAATCTAATGATCTATTTCTAGAATAAGAGAGTTTAATAAGGGGACCTAATCAAGTAGACACAAAATGTTAGAGCTAGAATTCAGAATAACGATTATAAAGATACTAGCTGAGCTTGAAAAAAGCATAGAAGACACTAGAGAGTCCCTTTCTAGAGAAATAAAAGAACTAAAATCTAACTAATTTTTGAAACCAAAAAGGCTATTAATGAGATGCAATAAAAAATGGAGGCTCTAACTGTTAGGATAACCGAGGCAGAAGAGAGAATTAGAATTGGTGAAATAGACAACAAAATGACAGAGACTAAAGAAGCTGAGAAAAAGAGAGATAAACAACTCACTGGACCACAAGGGGAGAATGTGAGAGATAAGTGATCCCATGCAGTTAAACAGTATTAGAATAATTGGGATTCCAGAAGAAAAGGAAAGAGAAAGAGAGAGAAGCAGAAGGTATACTGGAGCAAATTATAGCAGAGAACATCCCTAATCTGGGTAAGGAAACAGGCATCAAAATCCAAGAAAAAGAAATCCCTCTCAAAATCAATAAAAATAGGTCAATATTCCTAACATAGAACAGTGAAACTTACAAATCTCAGAGACAAAGGGAAAATCCCAAAGGCAGTCAGGACAAGAGATGTGTAACCTATAAGGGTAGAAACATTAGGTTGGCAGCAGACCAATCTGCGGACACCTGGAAGCCAGAAAGGACTGGCATGATATATTCAGGGCTCTACCTGAGAAAAATATGCAGCCAAGAATACTTTACCCACCTAGGATGTCATTCAAAACAGAAGGAATGATAAGAAGTTTCCAGCAAAAAACAGAAACTAAATGAATTTGTGAACACCAAACCAGTCCTACAAGAAATATTAAAAGGATCCTCTGAGCAAAGAGAGAGCCCACAAGTAACATACACCAGAAAGGAACAGAGACGATATAAAGTAACAGTCTCTTTACAAGTAATACATTGGAACTAAATTTGTATCTTTCATTAGTTACTCTGAATGTAAATGGGCTAAATGCCCCAATCAAAAGACAGAGGGTATCAGATTGGATAAAAAAGCAAGACCCATCCATATGCTGTCTGCAAGAGACTCATTTTAGACCCAAAGACACCTCCTGATTTAAAGTGAGGGCATGGAAAACCATTTATCATGCTAATGGAGTGCTAATGGGCCTCAAAAGAAAGCTGGGGTA